ATGTACGTTTTTGGAATTAGTTGCAAATTAGGAACTGTTTTCTCTCTCTTTTTCTCACTGGCAAGATTTTAAGGAGTCAAGGAGGTTAAACAACTAGCCTAGAGTGGTACAGTTATTAGTGGCAGATTCCAAACCTCAGCCCAGCTCTTGGCCAGGTTTGAGCTCTCCTTAACCACAGCGGGGAACTTTATTCCCAGAACCGTTGATCCAAAGGTGATGAGTCACATAAGACAGTGGTTCTCAGAGTGGGGTCCCTGGGCCAGTAATGCTGGAATCACTGGGAAACGTAGCAGAAATACAAATTCCCGGCCCCCAGCCCCAGAGCAGGGGCAGGGCCCAGGACTCTGCATTGTCAGGAGCCCCCCAGGTGATTTCTGTGCTTGCTAAGGTTGGAGAACCACCGACTGAGGGTCGGGAAAGCACAGGGACGTTGTGCGGCATTACTTGCCGAGGAGAATCAGTGCGCAGGCCAGGCGGACGTGGTTCCGGAAGCCGAGCGGAGAGGGTCCATGAAATCGGAGGCTCGGCTGAAAGAGACCGCTGCGTCCGCAGTAAAAGGAGCGCGGAGACTTGGAGATGGTGGCTTCTTTGGAAACCCGTTTGACGGTTTCTCTCTTGGACTGAATTGTCCCGGCCGACTCACCTCGGCCCTCACTGTGTGTTTAACATAGCCACGGGAAGACAGTGGTTTGTACGCACTTTCTCAGGGGAGCCAGCAGGCTGGGGTGAGCGCTGGAAGTCTCCGGTTGGGCGCACTCGCTGGTGCAGCTGCAGCTCGGACTCTAGTCTCAACCCCGTTACCCGCACAGTGACCCCCCCTCCCCGCCCCCCTTTAGCAGGCGGAGCGCAATGGAAATGGCGATACGATTTGCATATGCAAAGGTGCTGCGTCAGAGGCCCCACTCGAGCAGCCCCGTGGAAGTTGGAGTCTGCGGAGGATGGAGTTAGGTCTGGAGGGATCACCCTCCCAGCAGGGTAACTGAAGCTCGTTTCTGAATGGATCCAGACCCGAGTCACAAACACGCCATATGGTGCCCACGACTGACTGTGGCTGCAAACAATTACATCCTGTCGTGCTGTTCAATTTCCAAACACACCATTCTCCGCCGTAGAAACAGTTGGGTTCCAGAGAAGGACCACGTGGCGTGGCATTCATTGCAGCTGTGACTCAGCGCGCTGCTCCGCAGTCCTGGTCTCACACTCCCCGCGTCAGCCAGTCCCGATGCAGAGCACAGAAACCGACAGGGCACGGGGCCCTGGGGAGGACGCCCGCTTTTCTTTCCTCCCCGAGAAGCTGTGCCCAGCGCTCCTGACAACTCTTCTCTCTCAGGACGGGGGATGGATGGATCCGTCATTCTAAGGGGAGGGCCTTGGCGATCAGCACTCCCCTCACCGTGGGTTTTGCTGGAACGTGTGAAGAGGGATCTGTCTGCGTCCTTGGCAGTGATGGTGACAGGGGACCGTGCCTGGGTCCGTTGTCACTCAACTTTAAATGTTACTTCCCCTGGGACTGGGAGCCACCCACTAACTCATACGATGTCGTGCTTTTTAAAAAATCCTTTGCACAGCACAGGCTGCTATCCGATTTTATATTTTCGATGACAGCTTTATGGAGATATAATTCACATAACATACAGTGCGCCCTTTAAACCGTACAATTCAGAGGTTTTAATGTGTTCTCAGAGTCGTGAGGACGCCACCACCCTCGATTCCAAAACACTTTCATCACCCCCAACAGAAATGTGTTCCCTTTAGCCATCACCTGGCCTTGGGCAACCGCCGATTTAGCTTCTCTGCATCTGGACCCGCCTTGTCTGGGCATCTCCTGCAAACAGGAGTACGTGATGTGTGGCCTTTGTGTGTGGTGTCTTAGCCTGCACTTGAACCTCATTCCTTTTTATGGTAATCCGATTACTCTTACTAGTTTAGTTTCATTATCTGTCTCATTAGAAGGGCAGTTCTGCAGAAAGGAGAGTTGGAGGCTGGGAGAAGGGGAGGGGTGTGTCCCACACCACACAGCCCCGGGAGAGCACCCTGAACCGGGACACGGGTCTCTGGCCCTGTGGTTACTTTCCTTCCCTGGCAGCACCGTGACCCCTGGGTCTTCAAAGGCCAACCCATTAGAGCCATCGGTTATTTAGGCCACCGGGCAGTTTCTGAACTCGCGTAGGCTAGGTCAGGAAGAGACCGGGGTGTGTCACTGCTGGGCAGGGGGACAGTTTGAGGACTGAAGGGTGAGAAGGCACTAGACTTGCAGCAAAAGCTTGTCTTTGTTCCCTGGTGGGATCCTGAGCTAACGCTGCTCGTTGAATGCACAAATGTCACCCTGCGCTCAACCCGCACCGTGCCTGTGCCCGGAAGGGGATCTTCCCGAGGCCTTGCATCTGCTCATCATGTGCGTGGCAAAGTAGAAAGAGGAAGAGTCTAATTACCACGTCCCCCATGGCCAGGGGAAGCCATGTTCATTTCACCTGGACCTGAAGCTTCCGCAGGAATCAGCCTTGGGCTCCTGGGGGGGCTTCTCATTTTCTGAGTTGATGAGGATTTATTTCTGCAAAGTATCCCCCGCCACCCGGGCAAAGGCTGGGTGCATTCATTCATTCATTCATGCATTCATTCAGCCTTCCACCCTCTGTTTGTTAAGCCTCCAGAGGCCCTGGCTAGGTGCTGGGGATAGAAATCAAAGATATAATCCCCACGCAGGGGGAGTGCATGCCTGTCCTGGGGGGCAGGTTAGTGTAGAAGCCGTCCCCAAACTGGCAGTGATCGGACTACGAGCAGGACTTGGTGTCTGGGAGCGGCGTCTGGTGTCATTAAGGGTGAAGAGATGTCAGCCACCCGGCGCGGGGAGGTCATTCCCGAGCTGACTCCCAAAGGGAAGGGTGGTCTTAACCCGGTGGCAGGTGGGGACAGCTCTCTGGCTTGGGGAGCAGCGTTTTCAACAGCATGGAGGTGTGAGATTGGGCGCCCCCTGGTGGCTGGAAGCCAGCGTTCCCACCCAAATGTGTTTCTGCATTTTCTAGAACCCGCGTGAACCTCCAGCCTCCAAGCTGTCTCCCAAAGTGACAGTGACTGTGGTTATAAACGGGCATATATTTTGAGTGATCTTCCCATAACTCAGTTTTTCCTAACAATTTGCAAAACGGGAGGTTTTCCGGGAATGTCTCTATCACGTTATTGCCGAAATACCTGTACTTATACATGTTGTGGCTGGGGTAATTTTTATTGCTCCCCTTGAGTGTGAAAGTACTGTATTTATTTTAAAGGAAAACCAAAGTGTGTGAAAGTGTGTCAGGTTTTTAAAACAGGAGGAGAGTCGGGGGAGGAAGGATATAATTCTTCTCTCCAGATACCCCAGGTTACCCAAGTTGAACTTAAAAAATGTAGTGTTAACTTACATTCCCACCAGGGGGCGCCCACGAGCCCCATTCCAGTCCCCCTTCACTAGTTGGCGCTACTTGACAACGATAAAGAAAAACGAGGGTGGATGCTCTCCTTGTTTTCATCAAATCTACTTCCTCAGGCCTCTCACCCTTTGAGAATTCAGACATTTTTTGCATGAAACAAGACTTTTTCATCATTTTCCTCCCAAGGCAATGAGAATGCTCCTGTCATAAAATAAGCCGTCCTTCCAAAGGGTGGACAAAGAAGCGGGGAGGCAGGCCTGGCCGCGGTCGCTGTGAGACGTGACATTGCTGTCGTCTCCCCCTTCTTCCAAAGTAAGCTTCCTAAAAACGCGGCCACAGCGAGCGGTGGTGCAGAGATGTGCATTCACAGTCACATCGAGAACAATTCCAAGGGATGGCTCCTTCCCAAACGTGGTTCCCATAGCAAATTAATTTCTCATTAAATTAAATATAGCCTCTCTTTTTTAAAAAAAAGATTTTACTTATTTATTTTTAGAGAGGGAAGGGAGGGAGATAGAGAGAGAGAGAGAAACATGAATGTGCGGTTGCTGGGGGCCATGGCCCGCAACCCAGGCATGTACCCTGACTGGGAATCAAACCTCCGACACTTTGGTTCGCAGCCCGCGCTCAATCCACTGAGCTATGCCAGCCAGGGCTAATATAGTCTCTTTATAGTGGGAAAGTCAGGTAAGCACACCTTGAGAATTCAGTCCTTTTTCTCTCTTCAGTGTCTTGCGCTCATGCAAATGCGGTCGAATGTGAGCAAGAGTCGCTGGGTTTTTCTGTGTGTTCCCTTGTCGTTCTTGGATTGTGAGAAATATCACCTACAGACAGAGATAAACAGCCACAGGACTTTTCTGCTTAGCTTTGTTCTCAGCTCCTTGCCCATTTCAACTGAGAGGCTGTGCGTAAGGAAGTCAGATGTCCTCCCGAAACCTAGCGCCGTGTAATTCTTCTCGGGGACACATTTGGGAACGGTGCTCCTCTTGTGATAAGGACCGAGAAATCCAATCATCACGCATAAATGCAGCCATAAATTAAATGATCTTTGGAGCAAATGGTTATAACCTTTTTTTTTTTCCAAGTTCAGTCTCATCAGGCACAACCATGATTTTGGTCTCCAGGGCATGAAGTCTCACATTATTTTGGCTGTACCGAGTGACTGTTCAGACATTTTTTTCCTAAAACTACCATGCTGATGACTTGTATAGAGTGGGGAGTTTTCTTTAAAAAAGAAAACTTTACATGGGTTTTGCAATTAATTATTAGTAATATCCTCCATTTCCCCCCTGTAGCCAGTCTGTGCTAGGCAACAGGCTAAGCGGGTACCATTTCACGCAACACTCACACGAGCAATTAAAATGGCCAAAATAGCCTTTCCCCAGATTGAGCGGAGGGTTCCTTTTTCCTGGATTAAACCTGCCTGCCTCTGGTTTGCGGTTGCCGAGTTGCGTGTTGGTGCAGTCAAACCAGGAGCCGAGCAATGGAGACTTACGTCGCCTCGGTGGGTCTAGAGCGCCCCCGCGGAGTCCCGCGCGCGGTGGGGTCTCTTTCCGCCGCGGTAGCTGACGCACCTTTCTTGCCTTGACACAGCTGCAGATGAAGATGGGCGAGCGGGCCGCCTCGCTGAGCACCATGGTGCCTCGCAGCGCCTACTGGCAGCACATCACGCGGCAGCACAGCACCGGCCAGCTCTACCGCCTGCAAGGTAAGTGCCGGCGACTGGACTGTGTGGGGGCGACGGTGGGCGGGTGGAGAACTGCGTGCGCGCGGGCGAGGCTGCCAGCACCCGGCCGCCCTACCAACGAGGGGGGCTCCGGTCAGCGGTCAGCCCTCCGCTGCTGGATGCCAGGCTCCTGGGCCAGGGGCGCATCGGGGTCTCACCCCCCGGGCACCGGCTCTATCACGACATCCTGGGAGAAATGGGTTACATGCAGATTCTCGGGCCCTGCCCCTCAGAGATGGAAGAGCCGAAGGATGTGACTTTGCACAGATGCCTAGGCAAAGATGTCTGGCCTGGGCAAGAGATCTGGGGTCCCCTCGAGAAACAGTCCGGTGGATGGGCCACTAACTGCGCCAGGATTCCTTGGGAACTTGCTAGAAGCGCAGATTGTCGGGCCCCTCCCCAAACCTAAGGAGTCAAGGACTCTGAGGGTGCGGACCAGCCATCCTGGTCCCCCAGGTGCGTCTCAAATTTAGGAACCGCGTCTAGGGGAAGAGAATGGGCTGAGGCTGGGAGTCCCAGGTTCCAGTCCGCGGTGACTCTGCACAAGTCCTAAGACGCCCCTCTTGCAAAAACGCGGTCCCAGAGCCAGGGTACAGAATGCACCAACAGGAAAATTCGAGGAACGTTTCCTTAGACATCCAGAGGCGGCTGTTCATGTGTGGTGGTCTATGGGAACAGCGGTGCGTGCATCATTTGTAAATAAAGAGGCCTGCGGGGGAGCCTTGGGAAAGGACTTTCCACCCACGGGCACTAGACGCCAGGACCTTGCCGCCCCTGCGCTCTCCGCTGCTTCTAGCTCAGACGCGGGAGCGCGCTGAGCAGCCAGTGCGAGAGCCAGTGGGGGCGGCGGAAACCGGCCCGGCCGCCAGCCAGTGCGGCTCTGAGCCCTGGTCGCCCAGCCTGTCCCGCAGCCCCCTGCTGGGCGTTTCTGCCCCTGCACAGCTCTTCCCGGTGGCTCTGCAGTGCCTCCCAGACTTGACTGTAACCAGCGTGGGACTCTCTGGTGACGGGCACTCCTGAGATGTGGCGGAGGGCACCCCGCTTTATAGCCGTTCGCATAGTTTTTGTTTCGTGTTTAATTGCGAGGCCCCTTGACTCAGGACCGGCTCCTCCGAGAAGCGATAATGCCAAGGCGGGCGGGGCGGCTGCTGTGTCTTCTTATCCTCCCAGGGCCGTGCTCGGGGCAGCCACGAGGTGTGGCGTGAAGAGGGCACCCAGGGCATTTCCCGTGTCGTCTTCACGACTCCAGTCTCTGGTCACTAGGGCCAGGGCAGGGCAGGGCAGGGCCGGGGACCCGGGAGAGCTCCGGAATACCTGTACGCCCTGAATGCCGGTGTGTGCGCATGCGTGCGTGAGTACGTCGCTAAGCAACGGACGCCTGAGCTGGCCTCCAGAGACCCAGACGCACACAGAGTTGGGTTAGAGCCCCGTGTCGCAAATGTCCTCTGTTCCGTGTCATCTTCGGAAACTTGCAGTGTTTGAATCACGCCATCGCAGTTGTGGCCATATACATACATACCCCTTTCACTGTTTATCTAATTTCGTTCAGCCTCATCCACTTAAGTACATTTATTTTTTTTAAAGTGTATTTCACTACCGTCTGCTGTTGTAGCAATTTCTGATGTATAATAAGGTAAAGCACATGAACGTACATTCACGCAAACCTACTGAATGGCTGTGCACCTTGACTCTCCGCACATACCAAGGTAACCTTTACAAAAAAGGGGGGTCTTTTTAGACTCCTCTTGTCCTGAACCCACAAGCAAGTTGAGAACCAGTGGGATGTAGGCGTCACAGAGAGGAAGTTGGCAAATGGCCTTAATTCCTGAGATGCAGCGTGGCACTTGGAGACTTGGCTGTGTGCACCAGCGGTGACAAGCCGAGGTATTTTCCTAGATAAATGCCGTGTTTGCACAAAGACACGGCGAGAACGAGGGAGTCCTGAGCACTTACACTGAGTTGTGACTTCTGAATTGATTCGTGGGTATCCCAGAGCTTCCAGATCTTCAGGACAATTTGGGCAGAAAATGTCCCATGAAGAACACACTCAGATTACGATCCTTAACTAATCCAACTGTCCTTAACCAAAATAAGTACACATTCCTGAGATATACTCTGAGGCCAAGTAAGGGTCTTATTGGGGCCCTGGTTGCATAATAATATTTTTAAAAATCTTTTTTTAAGTTGAAAGAGGATGTTTTAAGTACTGTTTGTGTGTGGTTTGCGTGCTCCTGAGGTATCCATGACTACCCCCCCAACCCCGTTTACACCTGGACACAGCTGCTTCTCAGCACGCTGACGCTGTGTTTCAACAGCAGCAGCAGCAACCAGATTTGCACATCCGCCTGCACGTGCAAAGCCCTTGTTGTGATTGGAAGGCCCCTACAAGGTGGGCAGGTCTGGGAATGACCCTCGGGGACTGGAAACCCACAAATCCCAGAATAAAAACAGGGACCGCCCCTGGTGGAAGTGGGGCAGGGGGATGGAGACCACCAAAGACAGAAATCCCCATTCTTTAAGTAGGTCCTGCTGTTGTTTCTATCAAAACGATCCAGCTACCAACCAAACAACTGCTCACAATTAAATTCGGGTTTAAACCTTTATCGTTAGGTTTATTGTGTGTCATGGTTTTACCCATCACTCAAAAGTAACGAGGTATTACCGTAAAATCAGGTTCAAGCTTGCAGATCCTGGCTTTCCAAATGAACACCGTGGCGGTAACTACTTACGAGACAGTAATGGGAAGAGGGTGGTGGTTCAGGTTCGGATGAAATCAGTGAGGACGAGGGTAACTGTCACGGGATTCCCGCAGAGACGACGGCTCATCAGGCTTTGTGACTGACCATTAAAGGGTGTTAGAGATACTCTTGTCCTCGGGTTTGGAGAAGATAATTAAAACTTTAATTGTTGGCTTTTCGTTGCCTATGACGATCTTCATTGAATGGACACATTTTTTAAAATTAGAATTCTTGCATTGTTCCTGTTTTGGCTGCAGAACACACTCCATGAAATACTCCACGCCCCTGGAATCTGTTTATGCAGGAGAATGGCGGTGTCTCTGCCTCCAGATTATTATTTTGCTTTGTGGTTTGTACTAGTTATTTCATCCGATGATTCATTGTCACGTATTTTTGTTACTTGTGTAGGAATTCGTGGAAATGGATTTTATCTTGGTATTGAATTTGTACCAATGTTTACTGAGATATTCCTCGCCTACATGTTCTGTGTAGAGTAGACCACATTTATTCCATCGTGGGGATTGCTTTGCAGTCGCCAGAGTTCCTTGAGATAGTGTTGATGTGTGGTCTGTGTTGTATGGGGCACGATTTTTCAGTAATTTGTTCTCTTACAGAAATATAGTTCACAGACTGTCTAAAATGGTCTTGCATATTGGGGGTGGCCATTTACACAACAAATAAATGGAATAAGTGTATCTATTGTTCCATCTCCAACTACCTGCCTTTCTCTTTCCCTTCCTCCAGCCCCTGGTGGTGGGGGAGGGAACTGAAATCAGGGAAAATTAGTTACATCAGGGCCCTGTGTGTGCCACGTGGTGAAACTGCGCGGTACATAGTTTCTTCTGGTTCTGCTGGTGTTCGTTTATGGCTGGTAATTTCCCTGGCTGAATCACCCACCTTAATGTAATCTCGGTATGGGAGAATTTATCTGACTGGAGAAACTTTTCATTTCCTCCCTAAGTCTAGTCTTGTGGTGTCCCCTGCTGGCTGGTTTTGGAATTGTCGTTTTATTATCATTGGTGGTGGCTGAGAGGAATGACTGCTAATACGTGGTTAATGCATTTTCACTCCTCCTCTCATCCCATTTTCCCGTTGTCACATAGAAACCCCCGCTACAGTTAGGCATATACAGGACCAACGTGTCAAGGAGGCTTCCCACGAAAACTGGAAGAAATTTATGAGAGCGAAGCACTGGACCAGTGTATGTTGACACTGTATCCGCAAGGTTTCTTTAGGAATGCCTTGAGTAATGTAACTGCAGACTCATCTTTTGTCCCAGTTGTGTTCTGTGTCATCATAAGCCTGGTAGATGTCCCCCTACCCCCCCAAAAGTACTGATGTCTAACAAGTTTGGAGGAAATGCCATGTGTTAATTCTCCTTTTTCGAAATTCAGCGTGCAAATCAACATGTCCAAGGCCCTGAGATATCTTGCAGGAAAAAATCTGTTTAACGTTCTTTAAACCCGAGATCTGCAAATTTGTCGACTAGGAAACCTCTTCTTTCCTTTTTTGTACAAACATGCCGCTAGTGAAGGGCTGGATTTGTTCCTTCCAAGCGAGACCAGGCATTCTTGATGAGTATCCTTATAAAAGCTACCCTTTCTTGAAGACCTACTGTGTGGCAGGCTTTGCATGAGGCCTGAAGACACATGATCTCATTTCGTCCTCAAAACAGCCACCTGCGAGAGTGTCATATCCATTTGCAGCGAGGAAACTGAAAACTTGAAGGGCTGGTAATGTGTCCAAGATCATCTGTGTATAATAGTCAGTAGCTGAGGTTTTCACCTCTCCATCATTCATCCACTCATTCATTCATTTTGTCAGCAAATGTTTCTTGAGCAACTACTTTGTGCCAACCATGGTTCTAGATGATGGAGAGAGACTGGGGTTATTAGATGCACCTGTTTCTGCCCTCCTGGACCTTGTAGTCTAAACAGTCAGTAATTCAATTCCAACTTGACACACACCACCTTGAAAAGAAAGTGTTTGTTATAGAGAATAGGGAAGCAGAGCTGTTGGATTGCGGAAGATGATGAAGGCATTTCTTTAAATGGAGTGGTCCCAGGAGGCTGTCAGCATCTCTCCCGAGACCGGCAGTTTGAGAAGAGGCAGCCACACCGAGAGTGAGGGAAGATGAATCCCTCTGGGAACACCGGCAAGTGCAAAGGCCCTGAGGCAGAAACGAGCTGGGAGGTTCAGAGAGCAGAAGGCAGGCGGTGTGGCCGGTGCAGAAGGGGCGTCAGGGGGCAGCTGGGGGCTGGTTGGTTCTCCTGCCAACAGGCAGGGTCGGCGGGAGCGGGACCGTCTTCTCTGTTTCAGTAAAGGCAGAAACCGAGATGCTTGGAGGTCAGCATCACGATCACGTGACTGGGGAGTGGCGGAGGTGGCGTCTGAACTCCAGGGCCCTGACGCCTGGTCCTGGGCTGCTCCTTATCTCAGAGGGCCTCGTCTGTGAGTGTCTCCCAGCGTGCACCGTGCTGTGGAAATAGCTCCTCCACAGGACTGGGTCCAGCCCCTGTGATTTACATACGTGTTTTAAGGACGATAGATTCTGGGAGCACGTGGCCACTTGGGTGACATTAACATGTAGGTTTTCGATATCCATCCTAACACAGTCACAGACATGGTGTCTGCAGCGGTTCAGACAGAAGTAAGTCATGGTTAAGATCTGAGCAAAAGGGAAAAGGTGATGAAGAAACCAGGCTCTCAGACTTGCCTGTCCGTTGGGCCAGGGGGGACATGCCAAGAAGGAAATGGGAAATGGGCGTGGGAGTGGCGGGTCCCTGGTGAGCCACCAGCCTCATTTGCCGAGGACCGTTTGCAGTCACCTCCTGTCCGTCCTGCTGTGGCCGAACACAGGCCAGCGGTACCTCCCAGTGTCCCAAGAGCGCGGGTAAGAAAGCACCTCTGTGGGAAAGCCCACGGCTGCCCGAATAGCAACGAGCAAGTCTTATGAGTCTTGTGACCTGTGTAGGCCACAGAGCAGGTCGGGCCCGGATGGGGCTGCAGGCCGGTGCCGGCTCCTGCCCTTTCTGTGACCTGCAAAAACATCAGAACATCTTTCGGTCCATGTCCCAGCTTTAAGCTAAAAAGAGCATGCAAGCCAAGCTGGAAGGATGCAGTTAGCCATCGTGATGGAAGCGGCGGTGTTTCCATTACCGCCTGCCCCCAAGTGCACACTCCCAGTCGCTCTCCTCAGACACTCGGGGAGTCTGAGGAGCCACAGTCAATGGCACAGAGAAGGGCTTTGCACTTGACCGAGGATTTGGATTTCGCCTTGATACTGGTGGCATGCTGTCTGCTTCCTGCAGGACATTTTATCAAGCTATCGTAAGGCCGAACCTGGCTTTTGACTTGCAGTAAAACTCGTTATTGCTGGTGTGGAGGTGTCGGGGGGAAGAGCTCAGAGTTCCTGTTCGTAGTCACTGGGGGGCTGAAGAAGTGGTTCTGGCCATGGAGGGTGTTTCACTATTCAGGATTTCTCTGACAGTCCCTGCTGTTGCGTGCCAGTGACCATGTGACTAGATACATGATTTTCTTATGGTTCAGATCTGAGGCGTGTGAGTACCCGACTCTGTGATTCTTGTTCTCCTTGTGTTTTGGTGTTATGCCCGCAGTAACTTGCATAGGACTTTATTTTTAAGATTTTGTTTATTTATTTTTAGAGAGGGGGGAAGAGAGGGAGCAACAGAGGAAAAGAAACATTGTTGTGAGAGGGAAACGCTGATCGGTTGCCCCTAGTACAAAGTACCGGCTGGGGACCGAACCGGCAACTCAGGCATGTGCCCTGACCGCGAATCAAACCAGCGACCTTCCTGTTTGGGGGCTGATGCTCCAACCAACTGAGCCACCCTGGTTGGGACCACATAGGACGTGAAGGGGGTGTGGACTGAGGTCTGTCAGAGGTCAGAGAATAAACTTGAGGGCCACCGGCCACCCCCCACTTTCTCGCTCCGGCCAGTGTTAGACTACAGCAGGGTTCCGCGTGTGATTGGGCGGGGCGGGCGCGCCCTCTGAGCTGCGGTCCTGTCTCTGTGATTCCCGGCGTGACCCCCGCGTCCGGTTCCCGGGAGGCCTGCGCGTAGGGGCGCCAGGTCGTTCTGCTCAGGTGTACGTTTTACACGCACCGTGCGCATGTCCTGGCTCCTGCTCACCTGCGCCAGGAGATGGCAGTAAAACCTCTCGTTTTTATAACGTCAAGGGCTCTCCCCGCAGGGATCAGCAAACGGGGGCCAGCTGGGGGTTTCCAGCCTCTCCCGCGTCTGGCAACAAAGGTGTGCTGGGAACATGGACGCCCATTTGTTCCATCCATTTGTTCATCCGCGTACATTGCGGCTGTCTTTTCGCTACCGGCAGCGGAGCCACCGTGAGACCACGTGGTCTGCAAAATGCACGGCTTTTAGTGTCTGGGTCTTGGGAGGAGAGAGTTTGCCATCCGCCTGTGTCACAGGCGGGGGCTGACAGTGGCCTTGTGTGCCACCTTCCTCACTTTCTCGGTTGGTACCTAAACCTGAAATCATAAAGGCCAAATGGGTTTTAAGAAGTCCTCCTTTATAGCAAGATTTCCTAGGTGCCATGAGTATAATACCGTCTTATTTCTGGTCAGGTTTACAAAGAGTGTCCAAGCCCAAAGTTTCCACTGTCCTATGACTTTGCCTCACTTTTCCTAAATGGCCTGGGTGTTCATGAAAATGAAAAACCTAGGAAAATAATCAGTGGTCCGAGGATAGCTCCCTGCAAAAGCCACATGCAAATGTATGTTAATCACACCGGCTCTCGTGGCTCTCATTTGCATATCACTGCGAGTGGCCTCTGGGAGCAGTCAGGGTCCTATGTTACTTATGTTCTGTTCCCTAGACACCGGTGACTCGCTGATCTGATTGTGGGCTTTCTCGACATGTAACCGCTGTTTCTCACATTCTTTTTGGAAAAGATGTCGCCAGTCCTCTGAAGCTTCATCGAACAGAGACTTTTCCCGCCTACCGGTCGGAGCACTGACAGTAACTGTCCGGCCGTCCGTGTGACCTGCGTGGGGCGCGCCAGCCACCGATCCCTCCAGGACGTCCCGGGACAGCAGCGAGAGAAGGAGAGAAGCTTCCAGCCCTGGCTCATCCTGTGCTCTCATTGGGAAACCGCAATACAATGTCTGTCTCTCCGTTTTTCCTTCTTTTCTTTTTGTTCCCTCTTTTCGTTCCAAACAAACAAACAGACCTTAGTGTAATTGAAACATGCTCTATAGATCTCGACCTCTTGTTCCCCGCGCACAGCAGGGCACAAAGGAGTCACTGTCACGCAACGATTTTCTATTGTAGATACCGTGTCCCTTGCACTTCTCAGAATCTGTCCTTTTGTGGGTTCTTGTGACGTTTCCTTCTGTGTTTCAATTGTGCGGCAGTCGGTACTGACAATAAAATGCCTCTTCATTATTTGCTACTTGTGTATGCAGTGTTCCTCCGTTCACACACACGGTGTCTGTCCCGGCAGACACTGGCCATCATGTGTGGCTGCATTACCGGTCAGTGAGACCAGCAGGTGGTTAAACCAGTGCTCTGGCTCAACCTTACTTACTACGTTAAGAAATTACTTTTCAAAGGACCCTTTAATGTTCTTTACAGGGTGACAGGTTTCCCCCAGTCTTCCCCCCTTCCCTTTGTGGAAAGCCTTTATTTTGCTTGAAGTCCCTCCATCAAACGTTTTAAAATAAGAGATCGTTCTTCCCCCGGGTGCTGTCTGGATTCTGGCAAAGTGCGGTTTCCCCTGTATCTTCAGTGTCTCTGAAGGTACGTGAGTCTTTTCCTCTCCGGCCCTGGGCACGGTCTGGCACGGCGTCTGATCCAAGGCCGACCATTTGCAGAGTGGCCCTCGTTCATTAACCGGGTCTGTGCTGAGCACCTGGTAGTCTGGGGCTCCGTACAGATAGAGCCCAGGTATCCTGAGAGAGAAACAGACACAGGCCCTGTCCCCAACGACCTGAACCGCAGAGGAGTTCGACAAGGAAATGAGGTGGCCATTCCCTTCCAGAGTGCCGTCTGCTAATGGGCCCCCGGAGGCAGCGACAGGGCCACACAGCCCCCCAGGCTGCCCCACCGGGGAACTGACTCTCGTGGGCTCCCCAGGCTGGAGCTGGCACACAGCTTCACGGGAGGGCAGGGATGGTGTCTGCCAAGGTCACGGCCCCACGTGAAATAGGTGAAATAGGGCACATCCCGTTAAATTTGAATTTCAGATGTGCAACGAATAATCTTTCACTGTAAGGGTGTTGCGTGGAACATAATTACGCTTTTTAAGAATGTCCATTGTGTGTCTTAACGACAAGTTTGACTGGCGGGGCTGTTTTTCTTGGCTAAGCCTGGCGACCCTGTTTCCCAGGCCCTAGAACTGTGCCTGACTCACGGCCCATGTTTGCAAAACACATGCTGAACAGATGGATAAACAAGTGAACGTCTATCTTGGGGACAGAATTCATTCTAAAGGAGGCAAGTGAACGCTGAATACCAGTATACAGTTTCTCAGTCCCCACCCAGCACAGGGTCAGGCCCTTCCAAATTCATGATTTTCACCAGAACATATTATCTTGTATTTTCTAGGAAAAAAAATGTTTTTACTAAGCCCCCAGAAAGGGCCATAAAAAGGTTTATGATCATTTATGGTCTTTCCCAAAAGTGTACATTTTCCCAGAATAGAGACTGACCCACGAAACCCCAAAGGCCCGGCTCAAATCCTTCTGAGTGTGTCTGAGTTACTTGGGATTTCCAAGGATACCGCTGGTCAGCGGTGCAGAAATATCAGGGAAGGAGGGTTACGCGGAGCTGAGAATTAATTAGTGGATTAAGGATATGTAAATGATTTGTTGCTAATGGCTTTGCTGGCCTGCATTTGTGTTGCAGCTACTTTTCGCATCATTTAGCTCCTCCCCCTTCTCCCAGGTGCATTCCGATTCAGCGCGCACAGATTTGGTTCCCCGCGCGTATCTGCTAATTCGCCCACTGTTCATTTCCCCGACTCTGCCTGGCTCTTACTTTATCTTCTTTCTCTCCTAAAACCGTCTCACGAGAGGCTCCCCGAGAGTCCCAGGGCCTTGGCAGCCCACGTCAGGGATTAAGTTGAAGGAGGAGATAAAGGAAATGGAATTAAAGAAATAATTATAATTTTAATGAAGTCAGAATTGCTGAAGCAAGTCTAAAGCTAATGAATGGGCAAAGAAATGTTGCTGAGTGGAGTTCACCACAAGTCAGAGCCTCTTTTAGGACAATTTTAAAAGAGGAACGTATTCACGAAAGAGTGAGCGTTCTGTAATTAGGGGATCCTCACGGCCTTTATGTATTGTCCACTGCTGCTCCAGGTGCTTTCCTTGTGTTGTCTTCCTGGGCCCCCACCACAGCTCCAGGAGGTCAGTATTACTGTTCCCATTTTACAGATGAGGACACCGAGCCTTCAGGCGTCTTGATAAATCTAAATAAGATGCCCAAGATCTCTCAGCTCTGTTAAAAGGGAAACTGGGGCACATTACAAATTTTAACAGGTTAGCCTTGGCCAGTGTGGCTCGGCTGGTTGGGCATTGTCCCACAAACCAAAGGGTCGCCGGTTCCATTCCCGGCCAGGGCACAAGCCTGGGCTGGTTGCGGGTTTGGTCTCGGTCGGGGCTCCTACGGAAGGCATTCAACCAGTCAATGTTTGTCTCTCGCGTTGATGTTTCTCTGCCTCTCTTTCTCCCTCCCTTCCCCTCTCTCTGAAATCAAAAAATGTAAAAAATACACACTGAAAAAATAATTAAGAGTTTATTTGAGCGCACATGGATTTGCTGTGGTTAGAAGGCCTCAGGCACAGGAGCTGTGGGAGAGGTCGTTATAGACTAGGTGTAGACAGAAGCAAGACACTGTTTGATTGACTGGAGCGTCAGTGGTTTCCTTCCTTGAGGAAGCCTATTGGCTGTAGCGATCGGTTGTTACTACGTTTCATTTCCTTGCATTCCCGGGCACTGGTGCTGGTTTATAGTCTGGTTTGCTCACGTGGGCTAACAAGGCATGAGCACCACCCAGACTAACGGCTTCCTTGTTCAATCACTGCAACAGCTTTCCCATTCTGATTCCTGAGCCTGCCTGGGAGACCCTAGCATGTGCTGCCCTAGGGGGCAGCAAACTTTCTTTCTTAAGAGCCAGGATATGTTCTCTCTTGCTATTATGTCGCTAAAGCAGCCACAGGTAATACATCATAAATCCACGGGGTCGGCTGTGTGCCAATAAAACTTTATTTTGCAAAAGCAAGTGGCAGGCTGGATCTGCCCGCCCTGGAGCCACCAACCCCTACTCTAGATGAGGAGAACCATAAAAAACGAGCTTTTGTTAGTTTGGGGGTTTGGGTAGAAGCCAGGAGAAATGTAAACACTTCGATCCCTGGTGTTACCTAAGGGGAAGCAAGACCGGAAATGACTTTGTCCCTAACCTGAGTGGTGAACACACAAGCAGGAGAAAAGGGTGGGGATTGGATTTCAAAGCTGTGGCGGATTTTTACACAACCCAAACGACATGCTAAATACGCCAACGTTGCAAATACCCTGAAATCCGGGGGCTACACTGCAGACTGTGTCTCAGGCACAGTCGTTTCTGTTTTAATTGTGTGCTGAGGAAAAAAAAAAGGACAATTTTTTTTTTTTGGTGGGAGGTGTGGTGGGGCGTAGAGGAGTCAATTCCGTATTCCTGTCTGCAGGCTCAAGCCAGCGCCGAAAAGACCTCAGGGTCCGTTGGCGGCAGGAGGATGCAGCCGAGGTGAAACTGCTTCCTCCAGGAGGACAGCCTGGGTTTCTGAAGTTCACCGGTTTCCCACGTGTTCACTGGCTAGGTCCTCTGGGTGGGCGGGGCTGTGCGGTAGGTAGTGGGTCCTGGAGACACCGCGTGAATGACGCAGGAGCAGTGGCCCCGCCTTCACTGCACGGAAGAGAGCACACCTGTGTATAAAGGGACACGTTTATGATTGCTCTTTGGGACAGCCTTGACTTTGAGAGGGGAATACGGCACCAACTCGTAACAAAACCTTCTTCCCCATAGTTCCAAAAAAGAAAAATACATCCATTTTCAGCTTTCAGGGAGGACCGCGAACTCCACACTTTACTGTAAAGGCTGTCAGTCCTTGTGGTCAATGTTGGAGGTCTGTTGGCCAGTCTTCGGGTGGACGTCACAGCTGATTTCGAAGGGGATGGCCGGCTCCAGCCCCAGTGAGCCCACGCAGCCTGAGGCAGGCCTGGGGAGAACCGTCCGCCCACGTCCGGGCTGAACCAGACACGGCGCCCCCAGGTTCGGCTCTCCGCGCTGCCAGTGATCAGCTGTGGGCGGACGGCGCCCACCCAGCAGGGCTGGCGCGGGGCCCGTGGATCTGCCGCATTCAGTGTCCCCAGGTTTTTCCAATGCAAGCGGCATCCCGTCAACCCTGTTTCAGGAACCCTTGAGGAGGGAGTTAGCACTGGAGAGGTTCCCATCAGGTGAGACTCGGCACCTGCAGGCAGTCCGTAAGGTGTTCTTAAGCAAGACGGCGTGCTGGAGTGAGCGGGCGGAGCGGCGCTGCCAGGGGGCGCAGGGCGCACAGGTACAAATGCGCTCCGCGTGCGGGTCACACGCAGAAAGGGGGCTCCCCAGGGGCGTTTTCGGTGCCTCTGCAATATTTTCATTGTTGCTATAACAACTGAGAAGGACGTTCAGTTTGACCTCCTTTGTTTCCGTGAGTGACGAGAACTGGCTCTTCATGGAAACAGCCAGGCAGGAGCTGCGTGCAGACTCCCGGCGCGGGGCGCGGGGGACACGCGCACACGCGGGGGAGAGGGGAAGGGAGGCAGGCAGCATCCGGTTAACCAGTCTCTCTCCCACCCCCACTCCCTTCTCCGGGCTTTCCCCTCCTTATTGAAATCGGGGCTTGATTTTCTTTGCCATTCTTGCCTTCCCTCCCCTGCTGAAAAGCAGAAGTTGCTTGGGTGGATTTGAAGCCATAGGTTTGGGTTACAATTGGGATTTTGGCTCTGAGTCCTCTTGGTGTGTCTCTGTTGGGTCGACATGTGTGTTTCATTGCTGGTTTATGTGGGAAAACAAGAGGCCAAGGGCTTGGTTTAATCGTGTGTTTTTTTCAGTAGGGAGTTACCTTGTCCAGGCCCAGCTGATGAGGCCCATGTGGAAACCCTCTCTCCTAAGGGTCTGCGGGCCTGGCCTAGGCGGACCTACTCTCTGCTTTTGAGACTGAAGTTTTATTGGCTCACAGTTGTGTTTTATATATTGTATTCTGTAGCTATGCCTGCCTTGGGGGCACAGCTGCAGAGCTGAGTGGTTGTGGCGGGGCCGTGTGCTCCTCCAGAAAAGGCTGGCCCCGCTCGGCTCTTACGACCCCTGCCCTCAAGAACCAGAGGGTTTACCTAGGCGCCCGCCAGGC